GCTCTTCATCAAAGACAGTGTGACCTTCCCTTCCACACAGGTCTGAGTCCAAACCACTGCTAACCACTTGATTTCTTAAAATAATACCTTTTATCTGCTTTACAACTTTGGCTCCTCCCCAGTAAGTGTCAGCATGCTTCTGAGTAAAATTCAAGGCACTGATTCTGACTTTTCAAAGCTCTAAGCCTGGTGCCAGCATGTGGCATTCTAGGGCAGGTGCCAGGGAACCCCTTTGACCAGTGCTGGGTCTAGGAGTCACCATTTACATTTCCCACAATGCACCCCATGTAGCATCACTCCAGTGCATTGTGGGAAACATGAATTTTGGTTCAGTTGGGGAGCTGGTACTGCTATCAAATATGCCTCCAGTGTCCATTTCTGTGCCCCCCCAAAAACCTACAACCTGAAGCTGGCTCTGGCCCAGCAGACCTTCTGTCAGACTTCCCCAACCTGGTGCTTTCCAGATGTTATTGAACTACAACTCCTATCTGCCGGCCAATATGACCAGTGATCAGAGATGGCAGGAATTGTAGTCCAAAACATCTCAAGTGCTGCTTCTCAAACTATGGGCTGAGGACCACTCTTGGGCTTCAGCACTGGTCAAGCAGTTACCCAGACACAAACAGCAGTGGCTCCAGAGTCATAATAAGTAAGAATCAAAACAAAGTGGGTAAGAGAAGGAAACTGTGTAAGAGGAGAAAGTGAATGTAAACACTTTTAACAATGGTTTGTGCTCTTTAATTGTGGTTAGATGCTACACTCAAACCATTGTTGAGGGCTGACCACAAATGGCATAGTAAAATCAGGAGTTGAATAAGTGGCTTTGCAAACCATGGTTTATAGGTGTTAAATCTGGTTAAGGGGCAGTTTCTCCACCCCTCCAGGCTTTTCTGAGAGAGGACAAGCAGATTTTAGGCCTTAGCTCAGGACTGAGTCAACATCCATACCAGGCCTTAATCTTGTTTGAATGTGTTTTGGCTCTTTTTAAAAAGTGTGCTCCACTGAGTGGGTTCCACCTCAGGGCTTAGACTGACGGGGGTGTCACAAATATGACCCATCCCAACCATCTGCTGCTGCAATCCATAGAACTACTCTTACCTTTGGCTTTTGCTGAACTTCATAATTCAGTTCCAAATTGTGATTGTGTTTTTATAGACAGAACCATGTCCTTTATTGCATAGTTCCCTTTGTATTATTGTAGGGATAGCTGAATCTGTCAATTTTGGTTTGTCATTTTTTCCAATCTTAAGAACTGTTCACCCTGTTTCCACATTCGTTTGCAAATATAAATTCCACATGAACGGTTACACCACATTTTCACATGTGGCTCTCCTAATAAACACATATGTCTATATGTGTGTGTGTACATATGTATATGCAGCTTTGCCTAGTGCACACATTTTTGCAGGCAATTTTGCATTGTTGGGAAGTGTGAATTTGGAAGGAGAGCCGTATTTCTAATGGCTGGTAGAAGTTGTAGTCCGAAACATCTGGAAGGTGCCAGGTTGTGAAAAGCCTTTCTTCTTCTTTTCAAAGAGGGCAACGTACTTGCTTGTGTTGCCATATAATGTGGCCTTTACCTTGATGGTCACCCATACTTAACATGGTGCTGGCCATAATTCAGTTTGGACATTTGGCTGTAATTGTTACTTGGCAGGAACTGGGTATTTTTCACATAGATACTTTACAGCTGCGTACAATGGTTATTCTCAGCAATCTTAGGCAATTAGCAGGTCCTTTCATAATTCGTAATAATCCTGGTTGCAATTTTGTATCAAACAGTTGTTTCTCTCGCTGTTGTTTCACCTTTTGCACTGTGCAAACTATTACTACAAATGCCCCCTACTAGCGATTTCTGTGGCTTTGTGGCAAGGCTTAGGATTCAGCTACCTCCCAGTCTATTCATCTGGGCAGGTAATACTGGAGAGCCCTGCCTGCCCAACAGAAGTGATAGCTCCTTCTCTGCCTTAGAGTGTTCCAACCTCCTCCTCTCCTTGGGGAGTTTCTCCTCTTCAAAGGAAACATTCTTTTTCTACAAGCTGCAATAAGAATTATTTAATGACATACTAAAAGTAATGTGGAGCAGCCCATATTTTCCAGAATGTGGAGAGGACCCCCGCCTCCTTCATAAGAAAATAGCCTTGCCAAAAAGCGCCCTTTTTATTCCAGATGTTGGCTTTTCTCAAACGCATGAAATGGCCAATGCTAGCAAATTTATTTTTTAACCCATGGATTTAGTTTCTTTAATTTCTGGCATATTTGAGCATGACGTATAGGCCCTCAGCAATCTGCTATAATATTTGTTCTACGCAGAGTGAGGGCCAAATCCAATATTGGTAGAAGTGCTGTCGAGGCCAAGGAATATGGGGGAAACAGACCAATGAGGAAAAATTCGGTGCTGGAAATATAAATCCATATAAGACCTGAGAAGAAAAAGCCTGGGGCTTTTTAAAATTAAAATTGCTTTTCCTCACTCCAAGTCTTTGAACGAAGCAAGGTTACTGATAAATAAATGTGTATATGTGTAATTAAGATATAGTCAAAGGAGCACCTTCATAATGGTGGTAGCAACTTGCAGATAGGGTGTGAGGTAAGGGACACTGAACACATAGCCTTCTGGGTTGCAAAGCTGTTCCTGCACTGTCCTATCTTATGCAAGGTGGGATAAGGGGGGTTGACTGTTGCAATGAAATATCCATACACATTTTTTTTAAAAAAATTAATGCTGTCAAGGACAAGGAGAGCATACCCTTCTCCTTTTCTACGCAAGATAATTTTCTTCTCCATGGCAGTGTGGACCAAGAACAGTTTTATCTTATAGGCTGGGGCTGATGGCAGCTGCTATATAAAACATCTGGAGGACAGCAGGTTGTCCAAAGGGCTGTTATAAATGATGGACAGGCAACATACCCAGGAATGCGGATGCTAGTTATTGAAAGCCACCCAGAGACAGTTTATAGTAGTAAAATGTTTTTTATGTTCTGATATGTAAAATAAAATGTCCATACTATTGTAACAAAGCTTTAAAAAAACAAACAACAATGCCACACTGCGTTTTATCTAAAGTGGATTCTAATAGAGATTTATCTGTAGCATATATGTTTCATCTAACCAAAACTTAGTTTTTACATCACAAACGGGTGTAAAAAAATTTTTTTTAACTTAAATAGCTTTTTTTTCCTTAAAAAATGTCCCTTGCAACATTCATTATTTTATTACGTATTTCGTTGTTAAAAAAAAAAAGCAAAGCTGAATGGAACATGTGGGCCTGCATTTGTGAGATATATATATTTATATTTTATATATATAGATATATATATAGATATAAATAATTATTCAGCATGCAACACTTGTAGTGATTTCCCAGTTCCGATTATAGAACCCCACACCAGCCCCTGTATGCCCCTGTTGAAGTGTGGTTTTTGCATGTGAATTCTTAAGAGGTGCAGGAATTAATTGGGTTTGGTTTTCTGGGTTTTCCTTCTGCTCGTTACTTTCCTTTTAAGGACCGGGAATAGGCTCTGCACTCGTTCCAGTAAGGAAAACCTGTCCTCTTTTGCCTGTGATATTGTTGCCACTGATGTTTCAGCAGATGTGTAGCCAACATGGCGCCCTCTAGAAGTTTCTGGCCTCCAACTCCCATAAACCCCAGCTAGTTTCAGATAGTACATGGGTAGATGAGATCAGGAGGCTTAGTTTGGGCCAAATTAAGTATACACTTCCAGTGTTAACACTAAATACACTACATTATAGCAAGCACCATAGCTGCTAGAGGGCTGTGAAAATTTGTGTCCTGGGCTTTTTATAATTGTCCACCCATGTACTATCTGAAACAAATGGGGTGCATTGGTTGCCTGATGTGAAATATATTGGCACTATTTTCAGCTTTCCTACCCCACTATGGGGCAAACAGGACAAGTATAAAGCACATTTTTGAATTGTAAAAGCAGGGCACGTGGCTGAGGGCAGAAACTGCACATTATCAGTTTCATAGAAAGGACAGATCTGTGTCAAGCCTCCTTCAAGTGGTGCAGTCAAGCTGGCAGGTTTCTGGTTAGCTGCTATGAGAACAGGATGAAAGATGAGATGGACCTTTGGCCTGAGCCAGCAGGGCCCTTTTCATGTTCTTACATCACACGTTTACTTGAACTACATATTCTAGAGGGGCAGATTCTGGTGTAAGACTGCCATTTTCAGTGAGTTTTATGACCATCTGTCATTTTTGCACTGAGGCTAAGCGGAAATAATACTTTTTTGGTTGTGAATTACTAAATCCATTATGTTTAAATTTACCTTCGCTTATTCTGTGGTGTGGTTCTCTGAGCAGGGTCAATCCAGCCAGATCCTACCCCCACCCCAGCCCCAAGCAGGATCTCCACTGGAATTATGGGAGTCATGTGAGAGAGCACAACATTGCAGTGGTATTCCTGCCAGAGAAACTCAGAGGGTTGCTTTCCTGGTTTGTATTCTTAACTCAGAAGTTGACTTGTCTGGGTCTTCCCTGTATCTGATTTACTAACTGCAGACTATTTTGGGGACTACCCTGAACCATTACAGAGTTGTGGTGGAGGGGCTATCATTTAATGCCGCCTTTCTTTTCCCGCAGAGTTTTAAAAGTGCTGTCTCCCCCTAGCTGTACATGCAGGGTAAGAGCAACAGTATGAATCTTGGGGTAGCCAGTGGCCACCCATCCTAAATTTCCTCCCAGAAGGCACTGCTGGGACAGCACTAGGTCCTAACACAGGATGTAGTGTGATACAAACCTACCTAATTCACACATTTTGAAACAAATGTGCGAACTGAAACACAGCCCGTCCTTCTAAAGCTGCAGTTCTCCAAATTCTGCAATGCGGTGCTCCAGCAAAGTGCAATGTAGAATGCATATATTAGTGGGAATGGCTTTGCAAATATGTGTATATGATAAAAAAGTTGCATACAAAAAATGTGTATAAATTTTGATTAGAATGTTGATGAATTTTATAAGGTCCTTTTTAAAAAAAAGAAAAGAGAAATTGATGTGGAAATATGGAGAACTGAATGGAGAACTGAATTTAAGATTGGAAAACAGACAATGAAAGAAACCAAAATAAACAGATCCCCCAGTGCCTTTGGGAGGAAAATGATGTTCTTTAGAAGCGCTTTCTCTATCTGCAAAAACTGGGGTGGGGGGCAACCCCCCAAAAAATCTTTCCCCTGATCAGTGCTGATTTCAGCTTCCAAGACTGCACCAGCTTGGCCAAGCCCTACTGCGGTTGAAGGCAGTGGCATACACATTTAATCTGCTTAAGTGCTTTCTGAGTCACACGCTCAATTTTTGTGTGTGCTTGCTCTCTGCATTGTTTTTTGTAAAGTATCCAAAATGCATGGAAATTGAGGAGGCATTCAGTGAACAGTCTGGTGTATATTTTGTGTGCGTGCATGTGCTTGAAAAGGGAGAATAAGTGTTTCATGATTTCATGGAGGGAACCACATCTCTCTTTGAGGCAAATACTCTCAATACGACTGGTGGCCCAGGCCACTGAGCCGAGTGCTTTATTTTTTTTTGAACTGGGTTTTTACCCCTCCCCCACCCCCAAGACTGAGCTGCTTTTGTGTCTAACAGAAAACAAGCTCTTCAGCTACACAAACACCGATGTTTTTGGTCGGTGTCACGGAAGTGCAAGTTACCCACAGGTATTAACACTGAATTAACATTGTCCTGGAGCATTGACTCTTAACCGCAATTTTTAGGTTCACTGCCCAGTTGCAGGAATCATCCATCAGGCCAGTTGTCCACAGTCCCCATTCCTGAATGATACGGTAAAGAAGATTCCCTGGACAGCGAGAAGGTCTGAGAGTAGAGGAATTCATTGGCTGCGCCTAAGTGGGGAGAGGGGGGCTTCCTCTCGCACACTGAGGGGTGCACCCGTTCCCTTGGGAACGAGGGCGCAGGGACCCTCTCCCGGGCCTGAGACTGTGAAAGCTGATTGTAGACTGTGAAAGGGCTGTTGCCCGGCGGCTGGGAACTCTGGTTCGTGATGGTGGGCAGACGCGGCATCATGGTGGTAGCTGTGAAGTGAGCAGGGAAGGGCTGGTAGGGGACAGTTTCCATTGTCTGAACACTGTAGCTGGTGTAAGGTGCAACTGAGGTCCACATATTGCAGCTCAAAGGTGGAGGAGGTGGAGGAGGAGGCAAGTCTTCTACCGATGAGACACCTGCAATTTCAGCACCGGAGCTGGAGTACATGCACGCCTCCCGCGGCGTCACGTCGCTGCAGTAGGAGGGGCTCAGCATTTGCTGGTCATAGGGAGGTGGTGACCGAAAATAGTGCTCTTCCCCGACAGAAGAGGAGGCGTCCAGATAAGAGCGTTTGCAGGGTAAATCCAAATGCCGGGTACCCTCTGCATGCAAACCAAGGAACAAGCAAAGCGAGAAATGCTTAGATAGTTAAAAGGTTCTGGGCACAGATCACTGCATTGCTAGTTTCCTCTACATGCAGTTCTTATAATTGCTTCCAGCCCAGGTACAGAAAGTGCCCTATTGCTGACCATCCCTCTGGATTGTTGGATATATTGGTCACTCTCTGTGTTTGCATAGGGTGATAGGAATGCCCCCAAAGTTTTGGCAACTGAGTGTGTTCACTTTCTGCAATATGCAGTAAAAAATCAATTAGGAAAAGGGCACGTTAAAGGTAGAAAGTTTGAAAGACAAAGCTGCAGTTGAAACTCGCCACTTTGCCTTTTCTCCACAGCAGGTGTGGCAGGTGCCCCCTGTCATCTTCCTTGTGATCACTTGAACTATTCTAAATACATTAGGACTAGCCCCTTCTTCCTCTGCCCAGTGTTAACCCTATCCTGGTTCTTCAGTCTGCCTTCATACAACTTGGCTTTTTAATCCCTTGCAGTATGCACCTTACAGCCTGATCCTATGCAGAGGTAGGCATGCCTAAGGTGAACCTATCTCTGAGCAGAATCAGGCTGTCTGTTGATCTGGGAAGCTACACCGTTGCCTTTGTAATAATCCAATAGCCCTGTTTATTATTTGAAAGACATTCCTCATTCTCAAAAAGGCAAGGCATTGCCAATGTCCATCTATTCCAATCAATCTTAATTTAAGGGGCTTTCTCTAACAGTTGAAAGTTTAAATGACTTTGGCTACTGCTTTCTTACACCCAGCAATTACTTTTCATTCATCTCGATAACAGGCTGGCCACAATGCTTTTGTAGTGTTGCTTTTGACAAGTTCAAGGAGCCCTCAAATGTCTTATCAAGAGCGCTGTCCAGAAAAAGAGAAGTGGTCTACATTTGCCAGGACTTCACGTCAAAATGCTGCAGAAAACTTGCCAGATAAATGCTAAGGGCTGGTAAACGTTTTTGCTATGTGCTCGGGGGGGGGGGGGGAGAATCTCTCTTCATTATTGTTTGCTGTAGAACAGCATTCTGAGGTCGGGAAGCCCCAATTATTGTTGCGAGGAACCCCGAATTTTTTTACAATGAATAAGCTAGATAATAAATGCATTTTTCTGAAAGAACCAATTTTCAGAGTGGTGTAATTAACAACTTTCTTGCTCTTCTGCTTGTTGGCTACACTGCTTATGGCTTTGTTTAACTTTTAGGTCAAGTGTTTCAAAGTCACACATGGCTGAGCTCTGAACACATTTACTCAGAATTAAATCTCAGGGAATTCAATGGCACCTACTCCCTCATAAGTGTGCTTAAGATTGCAGTGTGTTATACCAAATAAGACACATACACACAAAGAGATGAAATTCCATGTGTGTGCACGTTTGAATTCACTGAACTAGTGTTACAAGAAATGCAACCATATAGGATTCAGAATAACTAAGATTGCTATTAATCAGAATTGCATTGTTTGAGACATTTTTTCCCTTAGAGAATCCACTGGAAATCCCCCACCACTCTGTTAGGTAAGGTCTCCTAGCCTAACATTTTTTTGCCTACGGATCTCAGTTACCTCGCCGCTTCAGGCAGTGATAGAAGAGCCCCGATTCTCTTTGTGCCGCGAAGGTGTTGAGGGGCAGGTCTTGGGCATCTGATGCTGCAAACTGCATGTGAGCACCATTCTCATACTGGTAATGCTGGAGACCCTGGTGGCTCCCGTGGAGCGAGTTGACGTCAGATTTAGTGGAAAGCTGACCATGAGTTGACACCAGCCTCTGCCTCATTATGCTTTTGGAGATCACTGGATACTCTTTGCTGCAAAATGCAATAGGGAAAGAACCAGTTTTACACACATTTAGACAGAACAAACCCATCAGGAATGTTATCTCACTATTGTGTGGCCCTAGAAAGATGGTTTCCAAACTGTGTTCCTTGGAAGCTTCCTTCAGGAACACTGGACTAGTTTCCCTAAAAAAAGCTTGACCAAAGACCATCTCTGCTCTTATTCTTCTGCAGTGGGCCTGTTGCAGGAGAGTGATGGGTGTAATTTAGGAGGGACGTGATTTAGAAAGGCACACTCCTTCCATGTGGGGTAACAATGAACCCAATAGGCTCTCAGGCTAGCACTATGCATGACCTGGACTGTGCCCCCTAGGATATGTCCCCAGAATCTCCTGCAACATACACAACTTCTTTGGATCGGTGGATGTGGAAGGAGTTCTTCAGAAGAACTGTGCTGGGCATAAGAAAGTCACCTTAAGACTGTATGGGTACTGTAGCAGCTCCTTGGGATCTCAGACCATTTCTCCTCACCTGCTACCTGATGACCTTTTAGCTGAAGATACTGGGAATTTGACCTCACACCTTCTGCATGCAAAGCGTATGCTCTTTCCCCCAGCCTACAAGATCTGTATTTAAGATCATAGTTCAGCCACAGAGCTGAGTGGGTGGCCTTGGGCAAAGCACCCTTGCTCCATGTCTGTTTCCCATCTGTAATGCACATTTAATTTATTTATAGCCCACTTCTGCCAAGCACACATGGGCTCCTGCCAAAGCAGCAAAATGTGTAAGTCAAAGCATCTGATAGCTGTGAAGATCAAGATCTGCTGCTGCTTGCACAGAACCCCAAGGTGACACGATCCAGCAAAAGCAAGAGCCAAAACAGACAAGCAGAAGCCCTGTGTGTTGTGTCTGTTGCTGGGCTAGAGTAGGCCTCAAGTCTGAAAGAACTCTCCTCTGAGGTTATTGCTGAGAAGCACTCTTGACAATTTTTACAATGAATAACTTAGTTATGTAGCACACTTCAGGGATACTTCCCCACCTACAGAGAAAACACTGCCCATGAAGTAGCTGTATTAGACAGAGAGACACCTGCGCTTATTCTGGGCCCTTCCTCATTTTATGTGTCTCTGTTTAGTTGTCCCACCTCTGTAATCTTGCCACGCGTAGGTCGCTGTCATCGCTGCCTCTAAAGCCCTTGGCAAACGGGTTGTTTTCTATCTTCAGTTGAGTTATCTATTAAGGAAATAAATGCGGTGAGTTATTAATTTGAAAGGAGACTGCAGACTTTGTGCTTCTCCAGAAGACCTATTTATTGAGCATTTAGCATTCATCCTGAATTGCTTGAACAAAGTTATGTAGTAGTTAGATTATATCCAGTCTTTATTAGTCTTCATTCTGATTTGTTTGCAGGGTTAGATGAAAATGAGCATTTCTCCTGATTGGCTTGTAGGGGTGTTTATATCTCTTCCCAGTAGCTAGTCATTCATCTCACACATCTCCCATCACTTTTCAAGCTGCTATGGCTACAGAGTGCTTTATTTTATTTATCTATTGCATTTATATCCCACCTTTTCTTCCAAGCGGGAGATACTTAAATAGTCACTTTTCAAAATCACATACACACATTAAAGCCTCTGCACTCACAAAGACAGTTGATGGAGAGAGAGTTATCTCCATGAACTGGCATAAGTGGCAGAGAAAGCAGGGCTTTGGCAAGGAAGGGGGAACTCACCACTCCAGCAAGGACCCAGTAAACCCAAAGGGGATGTCCTTGGTGAAGTGGGGAGCCATTTCTGGCAACGTACCCACTACTTTACCCTTCACCATGTGCAGGTTAACAGAGAGGTCACGCTTCTATCACAAGTTAATGGAGGGAGAAGCTGGATCCTCAGCAATGGCTGGAGTGGACAGAAGTCTGCCCACCACTTCCCTGCTGTCAAAGACTCGGGATAAAATATTCCTTACTGAGTAAGTGATCCTGCCCTACAGCTGTTTCTGGAGATCCATGCTACCACCACAGTCACATTTGTCCTATAATCACTAATGTGACTCCACCCCCAGTTAAAAGGGAAGGTTGGGGAAGGTTTTAAACTTAAGCACAGCCTCACAACTGCACTGAGAAGTAAGGTAAAGGTAAAGGTACCCCTGCCCGTACGGGCCAGTCGTGTCCGACTCTAGGGTTGTGCGCTCATCTCACTCTAGAGGCCGGGAGCCGGCACCGTCCGAAGACAGTTCCGGGTCACGTGGCCAGCGTGACGAAGCTGCTCTGGCGAACCTGCACCAGCGCAGCACATGGAAACGCCGTTTACCTTCCCGGTACCTATTTATCTACTTGCACTTAGGGGTGCTTTCGAACTGCTAGGTGGGCAGGAGCTGGGACCGAAGGACGGGAGCTCACCCCGCCGCGGAGATTCGAACCGCCGACCATACGATCGGCAAGTCCTAGGCACTGAGGTTTTACCCACAGCGCCACCTGCGTCCTGCACTGAGAAGTAGGCAGGGGAATTAGGATCACTGACAAGTTGTTAATTTGTTAATGGAGGGTGGAACTTCATTGCAAAGATGCCTTTCCCTCACCCCATTAAATATGTGAAGGGTGCCAAGTCAGTTCAGCAAGGCTGAAACCACCCTCACCAACAGAGAATAGAAACAATAACACTTAGTTGCTCTCATGGCAATCCAAAGCGAGGGAAAAATTCAGTTATTAAAAATTTGTCATAAAGGAGTGTGAAAAATGGTGGCATACAGCAGCAGAAGCGGTGAAATTGTTACAGGCTGGGTCATGAGTCCAAAAGAGCATTACTTGGGGGGGGGGTGGAGAGAGAGAACAGAAACAAATGTGGATTGGACCCCAGTAGAAAACTGTCCCTGCTAAACACGATCTAGCAGCCAAGCAATGCTTATCGGGAAAGTGGGTGAGCAAGGCAAGTCCCTCTTCCTGCACCCACACCCTGGGAAGGGCACTGACATTTCAAAGGAGGCCACTTTACCTTCTGCTGGCTGGCTGCAGCTTTCCTGGCACACTCATCTTGGCCAATTCTGCTCTCTTTCTTTTTTAAAAAAGGAGTTTAAAAAATGTGGCTTTTATTATATTTTTAGCCTCTCTTTACAACGCTACCTTCCACGCCCTGTGTCCCCATGCACTGCATCATTGAACAGCACACAAGGCTGATGGCAGGCACAGCTCCAGCTGGGCATGTGACTAAATGATACCTGGAAAGTGATGCTACTGGCTCTGTAATTGAGGGAGCCAGGCTGCCCCCTACCCACCCACATACTTAGCCTTTCCCTAGAGATTCCTTTAAGCTGCGGTAGAGCCTGTGGCAGCTTAACAATCTTCCAAAGACCGCAGGATGCTGCAATGCTTTGCCTAAACACTCCACCCACAAACCAAGGTGCAATTGAACACTTCTTCACTCAGCTGCTTTCTGTACTCCGTGTCACCAAAGGACACCTCAACAACTGGCATTATAATAAGTTCTTTACTGCCTGCAAACAGGAAGCAGAATGTTCTGATTACAGTGTTTCTCTCTTCTCGCTCTAACTCCCATCTCCTTGCTAAACAAAAAGACATTTGCAGCTATCCTCCATTCCATACTTTTGTTTTAGGGCAGGTGGAAGACAGTCAGGGAAAGAGGGCACCCACAGCCCTGACCTTCAGTGGGCAAGTTCCAGATTTCAAGCCTAATGGGCTCTTGCATCAGGAAAACCTGCCTCTTAATTTTAGATCGGGGTTTTTACATATCCCCACTGGCACTGCCTCAGTCATTAACATCCCTGAAGGGGAAGCCATCCTTTAAATTTAGCCCTGCAGATCCTATAGAACAGGTGGCCACAATGTTTGTGCAAGTCCATAGCTCAGGGGCAGAACATCTGCTTTGCATGCAGATGGGCCCACATTCAATTTTCAGGTAGGGCTGGGAGACAACCCTGAGTGGAATCCTGGAGAGCTGCTGCCAGCCAGTGTGGACAATTCTGCACTAGATGAAGTATGGGCCTGCCTGACATGCCTAGACTATTCACTCTTGTTGCCTCAAAGTCTTCTCTGCTACCCCTTTCCAGGTAATCCCTAACTCTTCTTATTTCCCCTTTATCAGATTCCATATTCTCCCTGCCTTCTCTGTCTTCAAGTGATTGTATCACACTAAATGATACAATCCTGCTGGTCCCAAGATATTAAGATGCTGTTGCTAGATGCTACATCACCACCCCAAATGGACGCTTTGAAATAAGTGTTTTTACAGATCTCACACCAGAGTCCTTTCAGCTGATTAGCATAATTGACATGATTAAAAGATGCCACAGAGTTACTAAGAATGTTCTCAGTGGATTCTTTGGTTAACCATATTGGGGCTATGCAGCTGCACTTACAACTGTAACTTTGCAACCAAGATTCACACAGAGGGTTCCTGCCTGGGCTCTGCCAAGTCTGTTTTTATTTGAATAGACAACCTGGG